GACTCACTTCAAGAGTCAGCCTACCCCACCAGCATGACAGTCAGGAATTCCTGTCTGGACTGCCTAAATGATCCCTGCATATCTCAGGGGGTCACTGAATGCCCTCATAGAACACACAGCTCCCACTTACCCAGGTGTCTCTGTCTCTCAGGAAAGTAACTGGACGGTAAAGGAGATTAAAAGGAATGAGTTCTGCTTCTCACCAGTAGTTGTGAGAAGACTGCTTGCTTGGTGGACTTGCCAAAGAGCCTTCTAGAACTGACAAAGAAAAGAAGATCTCCGTTTGAACTTTGCATGAAGGAAGAACAAGGCTGAAAGTGGTTATCCAGAATTTCTCTACAACTTTGCAAATTACCATCATATTGTCCAATCTGTCCAAAAGTGAATCAGGGTATTTGGGAGCAGCTTTTGCTGCTCAGAAAGGTCTGAGGCTGGGGTTGCAATAGCCACGGTCCCTGGTTCCTGAATGCTATTCCTTCCTAGAAGGAGTAGGCCGACATGGGTATTTCCCTCTGTCTAGCAACTTATGCCAGTAAAAAGCAGTAAAATGACATGGCTGAGGAATAGTAGGAAACACCCCAGCTCTTCCAAGAATGCTTGCAAAAATGCCATGGAGGGGGTCTGTGAAGTAGTGACTCCCTCTGTACCCATTAGGGGACAGGGAGGGTTCAGAGTCAGACCAGGCGGGCTCTTGGAGGGGATGATCACCGCACAATGGCCTTGGGGTCTGGAAGGATGGCCGGGCATCAGTGGAAATGAAAGGAGCTTGGAGAAGAAGTCTTCAAATGACAGCTGTCCATGGCCTTAGAGGTCAGTGCTCTGAACTGAGTCTGAATCTTGGAGAGGCATGGATGTGAGAAACTTGTGAAGGCCATGGAGTGGGCAATGTCAACTCCATAGACATAAAGGCCAGTGTTTCTAGTCTCTTCCCTGGACCTGGACTGCTCAACACATCCATCCACCCAGGAAGGAGATTGGCTGGCACCAAGACTAAAAGTAAAGGAGCTGGGTAAAGCCTGAACCCAGATCCTGGCTAGAACACCTCCCAGTCCAGTTTCCTGCCCTCCTCACCCCATACCACTCTCCTCACAACAGGGCTGACTGGTCCACTGATCTGCTCAGCCCCCATATCAGACACCTGCCTCTGTGGGCTTTTTCAACTCATGCAGCAGGGCTGACCCAAGGGTGTTTTTTCCAGTGCTTTCCCCAGGCCAATTTTAGATTTTTGCAATTAGGTCTCCTAGGAGATGCTCAGAGTTTGGGGGAATTTTTTATTTTCATTTTGTTTTTTTGGGTTTTTTCTTTACTTAGCCAGATATATGTGCTCATCATGAGACCCATGTGGCCAGGTGGTCTGGCCTGCCCCTCAGTGACCCTTCCCTGGAGGGCTGGCTCATGTTGCAGAGGACCTCTGCTGAGAGCTGCAGTGAAGGAAGTCATTGACTGAGAGGCCAAGAGGTTCAGGCCATTCCAGCCCCAGGCATTGCCAGGCAAGTTAGTTCACCACCCCCAGCCATAGTGTCAGAAAAGAGAGTAACAGGTCTTAGGGATCCAGTGTAACCTTGCATTTAAAAGGAGGACAGTAGCAGAAAACCTCATTACAAAACCAATCTCAAATTGTTTGGGGGAAACTGTTTTCTACAGAAATATCACTCTCCTCACTTTTAGGGTGGGGGTCTGCAAAGCCAAAGAGAAGGTTGGGGTCCTATGCTACCAATGATGGCTCTAGGGGAGAATCCCTTCTTCCTGCTCCAGCTTTTGGGGCTCTCAGGGATTTGTAGTTGCAAAACCCAACTTGCCTGTCTTCACATGGCCTTCTTCATGTGTCTCTCTCTGTAACCTTTTGTGTCTCTTCTAAAGTTACTCTCATTGAATTTCAGGAACATCCTAATCAAGTCAGTATGATCTCAACTTGGTCCTTACCTTAATTACACCTGAAAGTCCCTTATTCCAAATAATGTCACACTCTGAGGTTCGAGGCAGATGAGAATTTGAGAGGGGATACTATTCAACCTCCTACAGAACCTAGGTCCATACTTCTAAATATCTCTAACTCTCACTCAGTTGAGCTACACTTTCATTGAGCTTTAGATTGCAGTGAGCAGTAAATCCCTTCAGACTAATGCTCAGAATTAGCTTGTTGTGTATCTGTGGAGGAGATTGTGGAAATGCAGTGGAGATGCCCGGTAATGAAGCTAAAGAAGGGTTAATTCTGGAAATGACAGCAAGGGCAAAGGAAACAGGAGTGCAAGTGCCTATCTTTGGGACAGAGGGACTTAACCTAAGAACACTGGAGTGTACTTCCCAGTGGCTGTGATTTGAGATGAAAAATTTTAGTCTTGGATTCAGAACTGGATCATTGGCTTTCCATTTATGAAACAGAGTTAATAAGGCCTCCACCAAGGAGTTTCAAGTATTAAATTATATTCCCTTAAAATAGCACAGAATGGCCTTGTCCCATCAAAAAAGCTAAATCATGAGGGTCTGCTCTGTCCTGATGTTGTTTCTGAATGGAACAGTTGTATGTTATATATCAAAGCCATGTGAGCTAAACTGTATGAGAATATGAGATTGCCATATTCCCACTTCATTTAGTTACATTTCAGCTGCTGTTTTATAAATATATAGACAGCATACCACTCACTCTATCATTAGTTTATTTATAGACTGATTGCAGTACTGGAGACTGAACCCAGGATCTCACTGAGCTACATCCCAATATCTATTTTATTTTTATTTTATTCTTGTTAAGATGTAAATTTCCCAGGCTGGACTTGAATTTACAATCCTCCTGCCTCAGCCTCCCAAAGCGCTGGAATTAAAGGTGTATGTCCCCACCCCCAGCTATGTATCCTCAGTTCCCATGACAGTGGTGTGTGGTAAATGGTTCACAGCTAACTCTCTGAAAAATGATACATGTACACATACACACGCAAACATGAGTTTGTTATGAAATGCACTTATATGAAGGATGAATAACACAATTTGCAAAATATAATGTATTTGAATAAAATAACTTTTTAAAATAAATTCCATATGGTCAACTGATTCTCAAAAAATGCCTGTGTTTGTATGGCTCAACTCATATCCCTAGCCAACTTGTGGTTACTGATGAACGTAGTTCCAACATGATTGTTGGTCGACTCCCTTAAAGAAATTTGAAATAATGAAGATGTAAGTCAGGACACCAGTTGCTCATCAGTGATGCTAACGACTTCACAGAATCAGATGGAGGTTTTTGAACAACGGACAGTATTTCCTCCACTTTTGTACCCTATTCACAATTTAAGGACCACAATTTAAAGCTTAATCTGCATCATTATATTTTTTCTATCACTTTCTTCCATCCAGTCAACAGCACAATATATTAAAGTTCTGATTTATATCATCTAATAATTGCTGTGGGATTAACTTCCTCCAAGGCTGATTTCAGCTCCAAACTTGATGTGACTGAAAAAAGAGGTGCAGGTAACCCCCATGATCTCCAACTTTATTGTCATCATAGAGATTCAAGAGGCGTCAGTGATTTCAAGAGTGTAGATAATGGAGATACCATAAAAGAATTAGGAAAAGGGGGGTTTTGAAGTTTGATTCCCATTGTTTTAAGTATAAACAATTAAATAAGTACATATTTAAATAAGTTTTATTTAATTTTAAGTTTGTAAAATTTTATTTAGTGGGGGGGGGTGGTAGTCAGGGTTGAACCCAGAGCCTTTTCACTGAGCTATGTCCCCAGCCTTTTTATTTTGAGACAGGGTCTTGCTAAGTCTCTAAGTTGCCCAGGTTGGTTTGAACTTACAATCCTCCTACTTCAACCTCCCGGAGTGCTGGGATTACAGGTGGGATTTCATGCCTGGCTGTGAAATTTGATGTTATATGAATGTATACAATTTTATAATATCCATGTTTGTCGATGAGTTCACAATGTTCTTGAAAATTTAACAATTGACTCTCATTAGTTAATATGTGCTGTGTCCATCACATCACTGCTTAGTTAGATATTGGGAGAAGGAGGCAGGGAAGGAGTGAGGAAAAAGCCAGTTTATCTCTCTCACCACCTCTTGTCATCCTGAGGCCCTTGGGGAGCCCAACAGGATAATTACTGCAATCTGTTAAAACAGACCCTGAAAACATTTAGGCTGGCCTTTCAAAATGTCCTTGTGAGCACAGGCAACAGCAGTTCCTGTATTCCATTCTTGTGGCAGGGTCTTTCTTCTGCCAATTCCAGCCCCTCTCCTGAAGAAAAAGGCAACCTCTAAGATAAAGTCAGCCCCTCAAAGCAGAGCCCAGGGCTTGCTCTGTTCGCAGCCAGGAAATCAGGTTTCTGCCAATGATCCTCTCTTGCCCACCCCCATCCCCTCTTGGACTGTGGCACCAGGACCTGACTGCACATAGAGGTGTTCTCTGAAACTATGGAACAAATCAGAAGGGCCCATCACTTCATCAAAATCCAGTCTTCTAAGTTCAGTTTTTGTTGTTTGTTTGTTTGTTATTGAGATGGGGTCCCACCATGTTGGCCAGGCTGGTCTTGACCAAGTTCGACTTTGAATTTCCAAGTTTGTGGGGGTGATTTGACAAAAACTCTTCTTTCTTAGCAATCTTAAAAGATTTAGCAGTGCGAACTGCCCAGAAAAGCTGAGACTCATTTCCTGGAAACATTTAAGGAAAGAAGGAGGGGAGAGATTTCTGCCCCAAACCAGGGTTTGGTGGAGGTGACTACATTGCCCCTTTCCCGGCTCCCATGGTCTAAGTGCCTGACTTATACATGCTTCTCAAGAAGAACAAAGTGGTTTAAGGCCTGAATAGAGATGAGCAATCCTCAAGACACAGGCAGAAAAAGCCCCAGTGAGACAGGAAGCTGGTTCAGGAACCTGCTGGTTCCTGATGTGTGAACGAGACAGCAGAGGCAGCACTGCTGACCCGGAGCTTGCTTCTGCCAGGGCACCTGTGAGTGGGGCTGGGTCCCACGGCCAGACCCCTTGTCTTCTCCTCACTGGCTGATGGATCCCAAGGAGCTCCTCTCCCTAAGCCTCCTGCTGTTTCTGTCTCCAGCATTTCATCTGAGTAATGCAACAGGTGAGTGTTTATCTGTTTTGAAGGTCTGAGTCTTGTGATAAGCTGCCAGCAATCAGCATAGCCTAATAGATGAAGGAAAGATGCATGGGTGGGAGACTGTGCTTCAGCTGCCTCTTCTTTAGGGATTGACTGAGTTTCTACTGCCTATTTCAAAAAGGAAGATGCATTATGAGCTCCTGGGTCCTTGAGTTGCAAGGCTCAGACCACCAGTCCTAGTTTCAGAAGAAACTAAGAGCTCCACACAAAGGCTTTTGTTACATTGGTTGAGTTGTTGCTTGTGCTGCTGGTTTTGTTTTGGGCATTCTGGCAAAGACTCAGAATAGCAGGGCTGAACTGGATGGATGGAGCTCTGGGAGAAGATTTGTCCTACGTTCCAGCCCTGGAAAGGAACCCTCACACATACAAGTGGAAAAATCTGAAAGCAGTCTAATAAAACTCGAGGGCAACAGCAAGAAGAGAGGGTAGAAGTGAAAACCCTAGGGCTTCGACAGAGAAGTGGCAGTGGCTACAGTGTGGTCATATTGGTGCCTACTTTCTGGGAAGAGATTTCTCCACAGCAAGAGGGGCAGAGGTTGGGATTTCTGGAGCCCAAGGGTGGTTACAGAATGCAAAATTGGGAAACCTCAGAGTCAAAGCAGCTCCAGCAGGAGGGGCTGACTGGCAGCAGAGTGATTTGGGAGCTGCACTTTGCTCCTGTCTTTCTGGCTCTTCTTCCTCCAAAGCAAGTTGTTGGTCTCTGGTTAGTAGTTCCAGACCCAGGAGCAAAGATATTTGAAAAAGACAATGCCAAACAAGACACGAATCCTGGGATGACTATGAGAGTGGGAGAAGCTCGCTCTGCTTACAAATCTTGGGACTTTGGTTAGATGGTGGGAGGCAGCCTGGAGTGGAGGAGGTATTAGGGAAGGGGGAAAATCCTGAAGCCAAGGGTGTTTTAGACTTGGAGTTTTCAAGACTGCATATTTGTTATGGACTTTTCCAGGAAAAGCCCTGGAATATGTCAGAGATTTGGCATCTTCTCATGGCATCTCTCTTTCCAGAGTCTCAGATATAGAGACATTTGCTGAGCCTCACTTTCCCTTGGAATCAACAGACATGTGGCTCTTACCTCCTGAGTCTAGGAGTCAGAGAACTGAGCTGCAGGCTCAGAAGAGGGTGCCAGGGAGAGCCTATCCTTCCTTGTTGAACTTCACTTGGAACTCCACCCTTTGGGGCATACTTCTTGGCTACTGTAAGGAGTGGTGAGACTGAACTGTGTGCAGGATTATTCTATCTCTGGACTTGCCTATTGCAGTCCTCACCCTGGCAGCTGAGGCCCAGGTGACAGGTGCTCCACGTAGGGCTTTGGTGGCCACTTGTTAGTGAGGAGCACCCGGCCCCCAGAAGGCAGGCCAACCCAACTGGCAGCCGCTCCCTTCCTTGCAGTCCAGCTTCCAACATATGTTAAAAAATATTCAGTGTTTTTATTTTTAAACACATAATTTCACCCTCTTTTAAGCAAATTTTTGTTTTTAGTGTCAATGTTTCAACATATAATTTCATCCTTCTAACGCAAATTTTTATTTTTATTTTTAAACATGCAATTTCGCCCTTTGTGAAACCCCAGTAAAACCCAGATGGAAATGCTTTGCAAATGGGATAGTCAGTCGTGACATGTTTACCCAGCCAAGAAGCTTAATTCTTGTAAAATCAGTACCCACTCCACTTCCTATCTCTACTCAGCTAGGTTTCCAATTCCCTCTCAGAATTGTAAAAATCAAAAAGTCCACCTGTCCCTTCCCCCAACAAAGTGAATTTCCCATTTCCCCCAGTGAAACTTTTTATTCCTTCCTGCAAGTCCTCCCCACCCCCCTTGACACATATGAGGTGAGATGTGAGGAACGAGTTCTAGGTTTGACTCTACCTCGTGTGTCCCTGGACCATTCCATCTCAAGATGTTGATCTAGGCACTTCCATTTCCCAAAAGGTTTAATTCTGTGGTATGAGGCCCTCACTTTCCCTGTCTCCAGCACTGGAATGGAAATCAGAACATCTGGGCCATGCGGTTTTACCCATAGATTGGATTTGGACAGTTCAGTTCAGTAATAGTCTAGTAAGGACACATGATATGGCAGGCATCTGTGCAAGGTGTAAAAAAGGCAAAGTGAATACTCACAGACTCTGATCAGCTTCTGACACATTGTCTGAGATGTGGGATCCCATCTATAAATGTTTGTTAAATGAATAATAGCGTGTACTCTACACATGCTGTATACCAGGCACTGTTCTAAGTGCTTTATGTATATCAGTTATTTAATTATTACACCAACCACTGTGAGACTTGTATCATTGTTACAATTACAACTTTATAAACAGGGAAAGAGAGACACAGAGTAGTTTAGCAGTTTTCCTGTGCTTGTGTAGGCTGACTGCAGAAGTCTCAGTGAATAAAATTGAATAACCCTATGTTTGAGGAGCAGGAGGAGTGCTATAATTGGTATCTAGGTTCCATGATAAAAATTAGAATATGCCACATATAATTGAAACATATGAGTTGAATTGCATGGAAAAGAATTAAAGTATAGAAATTTTGCAAAAGTGAGAGGCATTGCTGGAATCGGGAGAAAGTACAAGGCATGTAAGAAGCATTCTGTCTAGAATTTGGAAAGTGGACAGAAACTGTTTTCATCATGTCAGTTTTCATTTAACTTTCATGAACTCTTCTGTTGGAAGAGTGTCCCATGTACTGAGTGAAGACTAACTTCCCTTGCACATCTCCTGCTGGAGGCAGCCATGAGTTTCTTGCAGGCATTTTAAACACTTAGACAAGGTGGCCTGGATTTCTATGGGACTTGAAGAAGAGCATTTTAGATGGAGGTGCAAAGGCAGAGCTAACATGTTGCCTGTGCTTGAGGAAAAGGCAACCTGAAACCTAAGATTCATAGCTAGCTCCTCACCTGGCAAGTGGGACAGGAGTCCCCGTCATTTCCCCCATACTAAATCCCTTAGGAATGTGATAAAGATAAAGGAGAGTCTATTCTGATTGTGGAGAGAGGAGAACTTAGACTCTGTGTGGTCATTCAGTACATTTCATTTTATTCATTTAAGGGGGGGGAGAAAAGGATTTCCTAAGCTCCTATTGTGCCACAGGTGGGGTGAGGTGTTGGGAATACAACAGTGGATAAAACAGCCACAGTCCCTATACTTGGGAGCTCATAATTAAGTGAGGATGGCAGACATTGAACCAATTAGAAATGTGGTAAGTGACATCAAGGAGAGATGCAAACTATGTTGGCGGTGTGTGTTGGAAAATCTGACCAAAGCTAGAACCCAGGCCAGCCTTCCCTCAGGAAGAGGTGTTGGATGGAGACTGGCAGGTCGCTCCTACAATTAGTCTAAGACGGACAGATCTACCCCATGCAGCAGCATTAAGGAATAGGAATAGGCGCTTGGCTGATGGATGTGTTAGAAAAGCAGTCTTAGACAATTTATTTTTTCTTCCTGGCTTAAATTTACCATAAGAACGGTGGGGCCAATGAGCTTTATCTCTTCCTTAACTGAAAAATAACTATAGCAAGATGCTAAAGGCAGATGTGAAATAACAGGGCCAAGCCCTAAAAAAGAAAAAGAGTTATCATTAGGTAGAATCCCATCTTGTGAAAGGCTTTGCTAAATCCTGCAAATTTCAGACCATCACCCATGGGTCTGTGTGAATCACTCTTGTTTTGAAGTAGAATTACCCACTTACCCCCGAAGGAAAGTGAGTTGGTGTTAACAGCTCTAAAGGTTTCCTCCCAGACTTTTGGTAAACAGGGGCTGACTGAATCACAGACCCACTGGAAAACACTCATCAGGGAGTAGGATGTTTCAGGAGCAGGGACTCCACTTGAAGTGTTCTATGAATCACTTTAAAGCCCCACTTGTTTTCCACTTGTGCTTGCGTGGGAATGATCTCAGGTATATCCTCTAGAGCAGGCCATTCACCGGCACAGGAATTGCATCATCGTCCTTCGTGTGGGTAGAGAGGTGTTAGGGGCTCCGCACGGTGATGCTGGAACTGCACTACCCATGTGGGTAACCCCCTCGGCCTGTCCTTCTCATCCGACCCTTCCTTTTTCCTTTCATTTTCCCCTCCTATTCTCTTTCTTTTTTTTCCCTTAAATTTGTTTATTGGTACATTTTAGGCATACAATACATTTACATTTATCACTGGGAACTTGTACTTTTACATGATGTATCTTGGTTCTTATTTTTTCCCCCATTCCCTGCCCTCCCTTCTTATTCTCTTTCTTTAATTTGTTTTTGTTTCTTACTTTTGCTTTTTGGATACTTCCTATTTCATGCTACATTTGTTCTCCTCTTCCTACAAATTTCATGTTTGGGAAGCAATTGTGGTATAAATGGTCTTCAGGGTTAGATGGAGGAAGGGGCACGTGGCAGACATTTGGGAAAGTGAAGGTTATGGTCTCAGAATGGGAATAATTTCCACTGTTTTTTTTTTTCTCCATACCAAAATTGGTCTTAAAAAACAGGAGTACTGTGGTGACTCTTATTTTTTTTTAATCTCAGATCCCTTTGAGAGATAACATTTTCAGAAGTGCTCTGTGAAAATGTACATATGCTTATAAACACAACTTTTAGAATACAAGTTCAGGGAGTCCATTCTTGCATGTAGGGCTTTCAATTTTCTCTTATTCCTTTACAAATAGAAGTTTAGGTTCAGGACTCGAAATTTCTCTCTCACTCTCTCTCTCTCCCTCCCACCTCCTCCCTCCCTCCTTTACTCCTTCTGTTCTACAAGTCAGATGTGTGACCACCAAAGAAGTCATATTATCTGGACACTCAGGCATTCCTAAGTGTGGCTGGATGAAAGTCGAATGCACATCCCACTGTTTCTATGTAAATACAACAACCCAAAAACTCTGATAACAATAACATCCCTCATCTCATCAAGCAATGGGGTGAGCACTCTGTTTTAAGGTTTAATATATTAGTAATATTCAAAAGAACAAATGTCTAATCACCTTTTGCAATTTTCTGTAACAATTATGCATCTCAACTACCCTGATCCTGATTTTAGCCTAGGGATGGCCTTTTCTCTTTTCACAATGGCTGATCTCCAGTTAATATTAGTTGGGTGCTTTACAGGACAGTGTGGGGATTTTGGATCATTTTGATGTTGAGAACATTTTGGTCAACTTGCCCAGTTTTCCAACCACATCTTAACCATTGTTGATTGTGGTGGGGTCTCTTCTAGGTAGATATGTTACTGAAACAGGCAGTCCTATTTTACTCTTCTGACTTTCTTATCAATAGAGCAATCTATGTGCCCTCTGAGTCATGGGCTCCTTTTATGAATACTAGCTGATGGTTAAATACAGTTATATACAAGTTAGGCAAAGCCAAATAAGAGATTGGTCAGGTAATATGGTTTTCAACATTCATAAATGGAACAGATGTTTATTAAAAATCTTCTAGGTATCAAGGACTAGTATAGGTCCTAAGGTTCTCCCTCTGGAGGGAATTGTGTTCATGTAGAAGAAATAAAAATAGAACTAAAAAAACATACACTTACAATATCAGGCAGTGATGGGAGGCACTTTAGAAACATGGTCAGAGGAGGTCTCTCAATGGAGATAAGTTTTTATCAGAACCCTAAAATAAAGCAACGGCGTGAGCTATCCAGGCAGACAAGAGAGGAAGGTTCCAAGGAGGGAAGCTACAAATGTGAACACTCTGAGATAGAAATGCTCTTGGCAAGTTTAAGAAAGAGCCCAGTGCTAGTAGGGCTGAGATGAGGTGAACACAGGACAGATGGCAGGGAACAGAATTGGAGAGATACCAAGGAATAGGAATGCAGAATCTTTGAAGTTGCATCAGTCAAAGACTGTGAACTTTTTTCTGTGAGTGCTAGAAAGTCCTAAAACCAGGAGAGAGATGAAATTAGACATAGTTTCAAAGGATCACTTTGTCCATTGCACATATCCTGAGAGATGAGTTGGAAGACAGTGGCAGTGCCAAGGACTATGAGGTAGGAGTGAAGGAGGTGTGTATTGCTCAGATTCAGACTCATTTTGAAGTTACAGCTAACCAGGGTTTTTGTTAGACTGAATATAGAGTATGAGAGAAAGAAAGGAGTTAAAGAGAATTCCAGTGTTTTACCCTGAGAAATTGGGTGAATTGTAATGTTTGCAGAAGTGACTATGGACTCAAGTATTCGTTTGCTAAGTTTGAGATAACTTTAGACCTCCAAATACTGATACGTGTAGGCAACTGAGAGTACAGAGTAGCGTTTGGCTGGGAGATAAAACTTTATTGCAGAAATGTGTCAAACTGTACAGCTGAATGAGAAATTGGATGAGTGCAGACAAAGAAGAGAAGAAGTCTGAGAACTGAGCCCTGAGATATTTCAATATTGAGATATCTGGAAAAGCAGAAGTTTCCCACCAAGGAAACTGAAAAGGGTAGGCCAAGGAAGCAGAAAGAAATTCAAGAGAGTGTGGTCTTCCAGGACCAAATGAAGACAGTTTCAAAGAGTGAGTGATGAACTATGTCAAGTGCTCCTGACAAACAAGTAAGACAAGAATGGGGAATCGATTTGGTTTCGTGGAGTAGATGGTGACCCTGACAGAGGTGTTTCTGGTAAGTAGCAGGGAAGAATGCCTGTTTGGAGGGAGAACAGGATCAGGAAGGAATAAATAGTATAAACATCTATCAAAGGACCTTCTATAAAGGTAAACAGAGAAATGGGGTCATAGCTAGGTAGGTACCTGGGACCAGGGGAGGGATTTTCAAGATGAGAGAAATTAAATTATGTTTGTATGTTGTACATTGATAGAAATAGCCAAGAAGACAGCTGATAATGCACTCAGTGAGGGCAATTTCAGAGGCAAAGCCTTCAAGTAGTTGAAAGCTCCATGAAGAAAAAGGCCAACCTGTGCCATCCATCTGGGTAGGTGGGTTGATCTAGGATGGTAACAAATATTTCTTTCTCTTTTTTTCTTCTATTTTTTTTTTAACTGAAACAAGAAACAAGGAGATCAGTTAAGGAAGGAGAAAGGCAGGTTGTGGGTTTGAGCAGAGAGGAGGTGTTAAATAATCAGCAGTAGGATTCCTTTCGGTGCTTTAAAGGTTTCTGGTTCGGGTTTTTTGTTGTTATTGATGTTTTTGGTTTTTGGTAAGTGTATGTCTGTGTCTGTGTGTTTCTTACTCAGCTGTTTTGAAAAATAGAAATAAAATACAATTTCAACTTAAACATTATTGATTTTGTCAGGGCATTTTTGGACAGCCAGGTTTCTGGTTCGAAAACTGGGCTCACCATCTCCCCGACTCCACTACATCCCTCACACTTTTCTGTTTTCCTCATCACCAGCTATGATGCTTCTGTAACTGTGGTCCTCTCAGGACATGATCTCAGAATCATTTTCAGTTGCTCTCCATCCTTTGTCCTATATTCCCATGGTGCCAACAACCATGGTAGAGGAATTAACAGACCTGAATTCTAGTCCTGACTCTGCTACTTACTAATATGACTTTAGAGAAGTCATTTACCTTACGGGTCCCTTACAGGCCTTACTGTAAATCTGAGTTGAAAGAAACTCAGTGTTCTAGTTACAGTAATTTTAAGATTTTCATTGGGAATTTTTAAATATTGAGAATGTAATAGGGACTCTCATGGCAGTCCTCACAGACCACTAAGGACCTGGCAATCCCAGGGACAGTACAAGAGGAGAGTAAGAGCCTTAGACTGCCATTTCTGATCCACAGCACGATGTGGTTTCCAGTCACTATCATAAGGGACTGTCTTCTCTCCCCTCCCATAGGTGGAAGCCAGAAGAACTGCCCAGTGTTTGTCCAGCAGCTGGGAAGGGACGTGTTGCTGCCTCTGACAGATGAACAGATAAACAAGAGCATGAACAAAAGCAACCGCATCCTTGTCATGATATCAAAATCACCAGAAGACTCCGTGAAGAGGAAAATAATGTCTCTCAATCTACGTGAAAGGAGCTCATCAGACTATGTAGAGCATGGCTATCAGTTTCATCTGGAAAACCTGAGCTTGGGGATCCTGGGAAGCAAGAAGGAGCATGAGGGATGGTACTCTATGAACCTGGAGGAAAACGTACAAATCCACTCATTTTGTGTGCAGCTGAAGCTTTATGGTAATAATGGGAGCTTCCCCACCCCACCCTGGCGAGCCACATGGCCTCCAGTCTGAGAATTTAGGCCTCCCTCGGAAGCTATGGATATTTAAAATTGGAAGCAATTGAAGCATCATCATCTCCAAGGAGTATTTAAACTATGCTTTATGGAAATTGTTTGAGAGGTTGACTTTTTTTCCCTCCAAATTGCACGTTAGTGGTAGCTGATTAGCATTAGCCATTTCCAAAAAAAGGGACCCAGCTGCCTGTGGGCCAGAGGGCCTGGAGCACCAATGGTCTTGGCTTGCAAATAAGATTTTATTTGGGAAAAATAGAGGGTTTCCTCATTTTTAAAATATTTGAATGCCACTGATCAAACCCAACCTCTTTTATAGACGAGGACACTGAAATCCAGAGAGAGGTGGCTCCACATGCTTACAGGTTTGTGTAGGAGACTCACTGCACTAGGGGTTCTGGGTCCAGAGAGCTAAAATTCCACCCACACATTACTCGCCAAGCCCTGAGGCCTGGCCTCAGATCACATCTACAGGGTAGAAGAAGAGCAGCTCTTTTTCTCACTTAAAGGAAGGCTCCAGTTACAAAGTACTTTAACTAGACCCTAGGTACACCTGGACCCAAGGACAGGGCTTTTTTGAACCTCTCTAACTGCTGACCCATCTTGAGTGCCCCCAGAGTTTGTATCTCTTGGGCCCAGAGATTCACCTGAATTTCCAGGAATCCTCACCCACATGGGGCTTTCCTGCTTCTTCAAAGTAACTTCCTCATCTCTGAGGATGGGACAGGGAGCCCCACCTACATTTCTTTGAAATCCTCACATATCTAGAGGAGGGACAGCAATACCCTCCCTTGCCCCAGCACTCACCTTCATGCCAACAGGGTATGCAGAATTCCCACCAGAATACCAGGTCACTGCAAGAGTGACCCCAGAGAAAAGTTGCCTCGAGCATGGAGGCTACAAATAATGCATTTTGCAAAGCAATGTGCAGGTCATATGTTTTGTCTTTTTGTGCCTATAAAATGTGATCTGTGCAACCGTGTCTTTCATTTCAAGTCCAAGCAAAAGGCTGGATTTGGAGAAAGACAGACTGAGGTTCTCATCTCGGCTTGGCCATTTAGAAGTTGTGTGATATCATGGAAGACTTCCCACTTCTCCAGAACTCAGTTTCCTCATCCATAAAATGGGAATAATTATAACTGTAGTTATAATTCTCAGGGGTTAAAGAAGAGGATGGACGTAAAACTCCAGTACTGTGCTTGTCCTATACTAGTTGTAAATACGCCAAACTTTCCCTTGCCTATTTCATGGCATGAGAGTGGGTTAGATTGATAGAGCCTAAGGCTATGATTGAGAACCTATCCTTACCTTAGATACACAAAAATATCCCCACATCTCATATACGCCCACCCCACACACATACTAGTGTGTATCTGTAGATGCGAAATCCTACCATTAAAAACTCATGTTATTAGGTCTAGGAGGTTATACTTTAAGCCAACAAAATCTCATAGGAGACAGCCAGGCACAGTGGTGTGTGCCTGTTATCCTCGCTGTTCAAGAGACTGAGGCAGGAGGGTCTCAAGTTTGAGGCCAGCCTGAGTGACATAGTGAGATCCTGTCTCAAAGTTAAAACTGGGTTGAGAATATAGCTAAGACGAGGCCCTGGGTTTTATTCCCAGTACTGTAAAAAAAGTGGGGAGGGGAAATTGGTGGGTGGCAAATTCCACTAATAGAGAACAATCTAGGTCCCGAACATCAGGAAGAGCAAGTGCTGTCCTAACAGCGTTGGCAGAGGGGAGTAAAAGCAAATCCATCTTCCCTATTTTACCTCCGTGTAGTCCTGGGAAAGGGATAGTGGGGTGAGGGATGGTGTGAAACAGTTCCCCCACAGAGATAAATCACACTGAAGCCCCATCAGGGAAGGAAAAGTGCCACTGGGCTGTGTAGTTTTGACATAAAGGTCAAGTGAGAATTCCAGAGGGGTTCATTTCAGTGATGGCTCCCTCCCTCCCCTTCCTCCTGACAGAGCAGGTCTCCACTCCAGAAATTCAAGTGCTAAACAGGACCCAGGAGAACAACAATGGGACCTGCAGCTTGACGATAGCCTGCACAGTGAAGCAGGGGGACCACGTGACTTACAACTGGAGTGAGAAGGGCAGCACCCACCTGCCCAGCCCAGCCAACAGCTCCCACCTGCTCTTCCTCACCCTTGGCCCCCAGCATGCTGACAATTTCTACATCTGCACCGCGAGCAACCCAGTCAGCAGCCGCTCCCAGGCCTTCAATCTGTGGAGCAGGTGCAGTTCAGACCCCACAGGTGAGTGCTCCGGTGGCAGCTAGGTTGCCGCAGGAAAGGGGATGATGGCTCAGTCCCTAACTGGGCCAATTGCTCTGCTTCCTCAGCCAAAGCCTTTATCTTGAAGGTGCTTTAGATTTTCTTCATAGTTTGCAAAAGCCTCTCATGTGCTCAGGGAGTGCACTCTCATGCTGATCATGGCGGAATTATTATGCTTAATTCCCCGGTGAGGAAACCAATAGGAAAAGATGAGCCCACCTCCAAGGTGTGACCCTTCCTCTCCACCTCCTGCCTTGGCTCTGGCCTGAAGGGATGGCTGGGTGAAGAGGTGCAGGAGCAGGTCCTGGCTCCCACAGATGGGGCAGTTCTACACCATCAATAAGTGTGTACTGATCACCTATGCTGTAGGAAATTGGGAGATCACAGGATGTACAGTCTCTGCTCTTTAACAAAGCTGTGCAACATATACTCAATACTGAAAGCTAAAATATAATGTGTTATGGCATGAAGAATAAATCTCATAGCAGGTTAGAGGGCCAGGGGAGTCAGAGAGAGGTGGGACTAAGATCTGGACTGAAATTTGGAGAAGAATGGTAAGCTATATAGTACTTTATTACTGGCAAGGTGCTCTTAACCTTATGGTCTCTTTTTATTCTCACACAACCTGGGTGTTATCGGGTGTTATCATCAGCCTCACTTGACCCATGAAGAATTTGAAGTTCATAGCACATAAGTACCTTCCTCAAGTTTCTTCATCTTGTACATAGTGGAGTTGACACCTACACCTAGGTCTTTTGACTAAATTTTTTTCTTTTCCTGGGAATAAATTATCCTTGTTCTATTGGAAGAGAGCAAGATTAAATTAGCCCATCTAAACACTTAGGAACAGGGTAGAACACTTTCCCCTTTACACCAAAGCTCCTGTGTCCCTGGCCAATATGCTGTCCCTAGAAGTCATTGCTTATGGCCTGACAGTTCCCTCTGTGCATCACTGGTCAGGGAATGAATCATACTAGACTTGCTGTCAGTAAGAAGGCTTTTCTCAGATGACCAGAGATGAAGGAAGGGGGATTCTAGCTAGGGTAGGCCCTCAGCATTGCCCCTCCTGTACCAGAGGCTTCCCTGAAATACTCACAGATGGATTCCTGGGAAAGAACCCGCGCTGCTATCCAGCATGCACTGGGGTACTGAGAGGTCTTCGCTGAACTGAATGTAATAGCCTCTCCCAGACTTTTCCTGGCAAGAGTCAGCTATCTGCCCACCTACTCCATGTTTCTGGCTGCTTGCCCACCTTGCATGCAAACCATATTCAGAGGCCATCCACCTATCCAGATCTCTCTTCCTGCCCACAGCGATTCAGACCATGCTGCAGGACCAAGAAAATAGCGTTGCAAAATGGGAACTTTACAGAATGTGAAGAGAAAGAAGCCTAGATCCAATGCTGCTTTTTCTACTTACAAGGATAAATCATTCCACCTTTTTGAGACTAAAATTCTTCATCTATAAATAAGAATGACTAGCAGGCCTTAATTATTTACTATGTTTCAGTTATTCGCCACCTCATTCAGTCCTCATGACAACCAAATGATGTGATAGTATTACTATGTCCATTTTACAGAGAGGAAACAGAACTATAAAAAGGGTAAGTGAGGTCACACACAGAAGAAAGATTGCATTTAAGATGCCTTACAGTAGCTGAGAGTGGTAGCTTGTGCCTGTAGTCCCAGTTATTTGGGAGACTGAGGCAGGAGGATCACTTGAGCCCACAGTGCCAGACCAACCTGGGTAACAGTGAGACCTCAACTCAAAAAAAAAAATCCTTATAAATCACAATGAAAAAGTAGGGTTTTTTCCTTTTCCTACTCTCTTCCTTTTTCCTTTCTTTTTTTTTTTTTTTTTAAATATAGGATCTCACTATATAGTCCAGGCTGGCCTCAAACTGCAACCCTTCTGCCTTGTTTTAACTTGTAGAAAGACCTGACCTCCAGACTATCTCCTATCCCATTCCAAGGACTTCGCATGCGAATTTTAGGGTAACAGTTCAACTCATAAGATAAGTCGAAATCTCCCACCTCCAGAGATGGGAACCACACCACATCCAAACCAGGCCACACAGCTCATTTGTAACATGCCCTTCTTAGTACACCAGGCTGCCTAAAAACTTTTATTAGCACATTGATTTGTGTTCACAAATGAATACTACTGTAAAGCACTGTGCTTGGTTAGACAAAATATTCGTCCAGGGCTTTACTATGTTCCAACATCATACTAGGTGTTGAGTATACAAAGATTAAAAAAGAAGTAGAAGACCCTTGTCCTTAAGGAAGGAGATAGTTCTATTAATAAATAATTGTCCTAGATTACATTCTCTGATAGGTGCAGACAGAAGTATGCGCAAGATAACAAAGAGGAAGGAAAGAATAGCTGTGTCAGGGAACGAGAGAGCATCACAGAGGATTTAAACTGGGTTTTGGAGAATAAATAGAAATTCCCCAAGCTGACGAAAGATAGTCAGATAGTCGATAGCTGGTTCTTATTCTGTGTTATCCCGTAGGTGACAGAAACTAATACAGATTTAGATATAGGAGTAGCACCATCAGTTCTGCATTTCAAAGAAAAAGCTCAGTGCTATCAAGAACAGACTGGGGGAGGGAAGAGGCAGAAGAAGGGAAACTGGTTAAGGAGGAGCCTTACTGCAGTAATCTGTCAAGAGGTGATGAGGCCTGGGCCAGCTCAGGGACTATTAGTTTAACAATGACTTTTTTCATGGTGTATACAAAAGGAAATCCCAGCTTTGAGATGAAATGGCAGAGTCTGAGGGTTTATTAGAGGTTGCCATCTAAGAATTCAGAACATTGATTTTAAGACATTTCTGACTTTCATTAATAAAAACTCAAAGTTGTTAATGGTGCAATGAGACCAGTTATAATGTGATGTCAGCACTGTCTTTCGACAGGACTCAGTTAAACTAAGCCATGCAAGAAGATACTTGTACTTTGGGGAGAATTTTTTTAAATGATATTTTTCCAGGCTCTCAGTCATATATTCATCTTTGTTTCTTGTTCCAGCTGCTATGATATTGTTTTAGTATCTATCATAACCAAGCATCTTAATTGCAAAGCCTAAATCCTTAGGTGCTACAAAATCCTGTCGAGGTCATGTGAAGCATGTTGATGTGGACAGTGTATTATTTGCTGTTGTCCTTAATCACCCTGTTTTGCAATAGTTATGTCTGTGCTAGGATGATGGAATCCTTTAAATAATTTAACTAAAAAGGAAAGTTCCTGCAGCTCTCCTTGAAAGGGAGACCCTTTTCAGGAGATTAGCAAAAAGCTGGCTCAGTAAGTCTGAGTTAGCTCAGTGAACAATAAGGCTGACACTTGCCAGTGAGCGCCAGAGGGTCCCCTCTTCCAATGAAGCCATTTCCTAAAAAAAGGACCTCCTGTGTTCCCTAGATGTTCCATGCCAAGGGCCAAGTTCCTCTCCATGATCTTGCCAACCCAGCGCACCTGATGGTAACTGTAGAAAGAACCCGGGCACTTCTCATGGGCTAGAGCTTGGCTACCTGGCCACACTTGCTATAGAGGAAACTGAGAAGTGTAGTCCTTAGCTGAGGAGCCGTGTACCTGCACAAAACTTGTATTACTGTGAAAAACAAAAATAGAATAAATGGTCCTGGGGGCCTAAATTGTAGCCTCTACAATACAATCTGGGTGGATAGGCAGGTGGAAAGGGATTATTCAGGAAGCTGTGAATTCTTCTTTAATTGTACTTTGAGACAGTACCTCACTAAGTTGCCCAGGCTACACTCAAACTTGTGATCCTCCTGCCTCAGCCTCCCAAGTAGCTGGGGTTATAGGTGTGAGCCACCAACTCAGATGGAAGTGATGGATCCTGTGAAATGTATACTTGGACGGTCTTAGTCCTTAAATTATTATGTAGTTTGTAAGCATTCTTTCTCCACCCCCAATTCTGAGTGGAAACTTCCACCAACAAGATGCTCTCTCTTGAAGACAGTTGGCTTCTTCAAGGAGACGTGCTCCATACCGGCAGCCTTGCTGACAGAACCACATGAAAGGCAGGAAAGAGATCTGGTACTCTCAGGCCGTTACATGTTACATGAGCATCTCAGTGTCTCCAGGGGTGAACTACATTTATTTCTCAGATTTTTGTTTGTTTTCTTCTTTATCTTCCTTAAAAATATAATTCGAAGATTTGAGAGAAGCTTTTGTGTTTCTGGGACAGAGATAAAAAGAGGTGGGGGTAGAGGCCTCAAGGCATTTTTCTCAGAGGTGTGGCTACACACAAAGTTATCTGGTTTAAACCACAACCAAAAGAGGAGAGGACCAGTGTGGAGAAATACTCTTCATAAATGTCACAGGAGTTCTTAGCTGGCCTGCTCAGCTGTCTCTGAGAGATTCCAAGGGGGAAAGTCCCAAACATCTGCTTCAAGAAAGCCCTTGTAACATTTCCTTCATGAGCGAAGGGTTTGTGGACTCAAGGACAACTTTTGTCTCATTTCTTTTTTCTTTTTTTTTCTTTTTTTGTAAGGCCACAGCACTTTATTTAGAAAGATATACAAGATCTCCTAGTATTCACCCCCTTCCTCTTCCTCTCCCTCCCTCTCCTCACTATCCATGCCTATCTCCTCATAATCCTTCTCCAGGGGCTGGGGATTTAGCTCAGTGGCACCGCGCCTGCCTCGTAATTGCAAGGTCCTACGTTCAATCCCTGGTACCAAAAAAAAATTTTTTAAAGCCACTCATAATCCTTCTCCCGGCCCTCTGAGAACTCACCCTCCTCCATGCCCTCTCCCACACACCAGTGTACAAAAGCCCTCTTCGCATACATCAGGTCGAACTTGTGGTCCAAGCGGGCCCAGGCCTCAGCAATGGCGGTCGTGTTGCTCAGCGTGCACACGCCACGCTGCACCTTGGCCAGGTCGCCCCCAGGCACCACCGTGGGCGGCTGGTAGTTGATACCAACCTTGAAGCCCGTGGGGCACCAGTCCACAAACTGGATGCTGCGCTTCGCCTTGATGGCAGCAATGGCGGCGTTGACATCCTTGGGCACCACATCTCCGCGGTACAGCAGGCAGCAGGCCATGCACTTGCCGTGCCGGGGGTCACACTTCACCATCTGGTTGGCAGGCTGGAAGCAGGCACTGGTGATCTCCGCCATCGACAGCTGCTCGGGGTAGGCCTTCTCTGCGGAGATGACGGGCACATAGGTGGCCAGGGGGAAGTGGGTGCGAGGGTAGGGCACCAAGTTGGTCTGGAACTCTGTCAGGTCCACCTTGAGGGCCCCATCAAAGCGCAGGGAGGTGGTGATGGAAGAGACGATTTGGCTGATGAGGCGGTTGAGGTTGGTGTAGGTTGGGGGCTTGATGTCCAGGTTGCGGTGGCAGATGTCATAGATGGCTTCGTTGTCCACCATGAAGGCACAGTCTGAGTGCTCCAGGGTGGTGTGGGTGGTCAGGATGGAGTTGTAGGGCTTGAGCACAGCGGTGGACACCTGGGGGGCTGGGTAGATGGAGAACTCCAGCTTGGATTTCTTGCCATAGTCAACAGAGAGCTGCTCCATCAGGAGGGAGGTGAAGCCAGAGCCGGTGCCCCCTCCAAAGCACTGCCTGGCTGGGGTCTTCTGTTTGTGGGTCTGCGCTCACTTGATAGGAGGCTGGGATGGATCTGTGGCCTCCTCACCCTCTCTGGTCTGGTGGCTGAGGGTGGGGGAAGAAACAGCCCATGGGGCGGGGTGGGGGGCTGGCCTGTTGACTTGGTTACAGAGCAGCAGCAGGTGCTGGGCCAAGGCCCAAACTGGGGAACCAGGTGGGGTAGGCAGAGGAGGCACACGGTCACATTTTCTGGTGGCAGCCTGGCCTTCACAGGTGGGAGAGGGTGTAGAATTCACCAACTTTTGTCTCATTTCTGAGAATCGCCATCCTTAAAGGCCTCATTGCCTGACTGAGCAAAATGAGGGCGGCAAGCTAGAGTTTCTGTGAAAATGAGAACACAGGTGACTTGTTGAGGGCACAGACAGACTTTCCTCCTAGTGCTATTGTGTTATAAAGCATCTGCCAAGTAGGCCATCACACCTTCCCCTCCTCTCCTGCCTTGGGGCATTCAGAAGGTGACCCTGCATTCTTTCCGAGTCTTGCTTATATTTAGCTCTCTGATAATTCTTAACAGAAGGTTGCGTTAGTCTTCTCCCAAATCATTCATATGGCATCACATTTAATTTAACCTAAGCTTATCAAGAATATATGAAATGTCCCTTTGTCATATATTGTATCAGATGGAATGGGGGTGCAAATAAAGAACAAGGTACTGAGGCAATTTTAGGGAATTTCAGTCAAGTATGACTTCTATACATTACTGGATGGAAAAATATTATCATATTGAAGACATCACTACTAGAATTCCTCTTTGGAAGGGAACAGTGTTCATTTAGGATGGCTTGTACTATAATAAATGCTAGAAAGCTGAAAGTGAGACCATTTAAGGGATCAATGTGTGCATAAGATGGTCTGTATGAGAATGAAGTAAAATGCTGCTTATAAAACACAAGAAGAGAAAGAGCAGATCCGAGCCTGTTAGATTACAATGCCTGGATTACAATGGAATCTGTACCTAATGCCCCTTAAATCTTCCATTGAGGATTTAAACCTCAGAATCCTTGTTGTGAGGTGTTTTGTTTCTGTTTTTTGTGGAAATTGGTGAGGGAACTTAAGTTTGCACCCAAGAGAGCACAGAGCAGAGCAAGTGGAGATACAAGAGCAAAGACTTAGTGGACCACAAGGAAATTATTCCCAGGAATTACAGAACTCAGGGAAAGCTTGATCCCAACAAGCTAGAAAAGCAGCATTTTGTCCATGTTTATTTCAATTCCTAAAGGCACAGAGTTCCTGGCATTTAGTTTCCATATAAATATTGTAAGTACAGAAAGCACCAAGTGAGTGCACCAAATGGCCAAATGTGGAACTACTTGGGCCTACTATGCAGATAGGGAAACTAAGCAATAAGCAAAGGACAAGATGGGACTGAAGCATCTCTGGGCATCAATGCAGACTCATTGAGATAAAAACCATTTGCTTGTCCTTCCAATCAATCAACAAGAATTCACTGGGGCTCCATTACGTACCAAGTATTGAAAGAGCTGCAGAGAGTACTGTGTAAGAGTTGGTCTCTGGCTTCCAAGAACCAGGAGCCTCAGTCTCTGACAATAATGACCCGCAGTTAGTTGGGAAATTGAAGCTAATGGGCCACATGAGGGATTCCAGACATTGCTCTGGGCATGTTCCATCCATAACTACATTGTTCGGTTGTAGAGCACTTGCCTAGCATGTGCATGGCCCTGAGTTTGATCCCCAGCACTGGAAAAAAATATGTGAACTGAATATTCCTATGCTCATTTTACAAATGAAGAAACAAGGCTCCATTGAGTATAACCTCAAGGAGGCACAGAGTTATGAAAGGATATACCCAGAATGTGAATCCTTCTGTCCTGCTCCAAACACCAGCACTGGAAGTGGTCTCTGTGGCAGAGATAATGTTGCCAAAACACAGGTTCTAAGATACATAAAATAAACCACTGGTGCTGCAGGAGGCCACAGGAAAGGGAAAAATGGGAGCTTCAGAGGTGGGGAAAAGCAGTGGTGACACAGGGGAAGGAATAGTGGTCTGAGCAGCAAGCTGACCATGCATGGTGGACAGATGAAGGAGCCCTGAGGAGGGGTGCAGGGTGGAGCACAGGGCCAGGAATGGGCACCTGTAGGATGGAGGAAAGTGAAGAGATGGATTGCCCATCTAGGGGACTTTAGACTCAAGAGGCCTCCCAGGCCTCCTAGTGGGGACTTCAGCTTCAGAGGCCAAATCACAAACTGCAAGATCTGCATTTCTCATTCACTCAGTTCTGCCACCAACTTTTTCTGGGACTCTAGGTACATTTGTCTGAGTCTGTTTCCTGAAGATAAAATTAGTGGGTTGGGTGAAATAAGCACTGTAGTTTCTTAAAGGTTTTTTTCTTTTTTTAAGACTTAGGTTGTGTAACTTAAATTTCTCAATACACTCATATTATATCCAGAGATCAGGAGAAAATTTAAAGCTTGTGAAATATCTTTCAAGATTATGCTCAGATTGTCTCTCAGATATGACTAGCCTGGCAGAAGCTTGTCATTTATGTCATAGGACAAGGGTAGCAAATTGATATTATCCTCCCAATGTCTTTTTTTTCCAAGATCTTGGGAAGATGATACCAAGGCTGGTGTTATCATGTTCTCCAGCCTCAGTTACATGAGTTGGTGGGTGGTAGAGCTGCCAGAAGTAGGCACAGGGAGAGAGGAGAAAGGCTGTGTGGGGTGGAGACATTCTTGATGCAGTTTTGTCATCTGTTATTTCCCAATTTTATTTGTTGGTCTTATTTTAAATCTTAAATGAAATTTAGGAGAAATAATACCTCTTAAAAGGATATAAATGGTTAAGATGTCTGTTCGCAGATTAACTCTTAATTTAGAATTCCCAAAATGCACATGGTAGAAGAAGAAAGAGAAAATAATCTCAAAATAATAAGAACTACTATAACAACTTGTCTGACCAGCTCCTAGGCTGCTGGCTCTGCTTCTTAGCCTTGGTGAGGTTTCTCCATGAGTCTCTGATGTAGACAGCGTAAACCCTGGACCAATTATAATCTATCTCAGACACACACACACACACACACACACACACACACTCGCCTGCATGGAGGGTTCTTAGCCACTATCAACCATTCAGAGTGGATCAGTTCACAGGGCACTGCCAGCCACAGTGGGGATTCCATCTTTCATGCTCTATACAAAGTCAGGCATCTTTTTAGAATTGCTCACCTCTAACTTTTTGATCAAGACCATGTGACTATTGAAGTTGATATCTATCAGGGTTAAAACATGTGTAATTTGGGGAAGATATTCTATAATCAAAGGGTTCACAAAGTTAGTTCACTGAGATTCCTCAGGATGACTTGATGCATGGAAAGTTTAGGAAAAAGAAGAATCTTTTCAAATCCAGAAGGAAACAACAAGCTGGAGGCCCACTTGGACCTTTTGTCAGTGAGAATTCAGTTTGTATTTTAGTCAGTTTTATAAACATCTGGCTTTTGTCTGCAATTGCTTTATTCCTTTATTACCTACCCATTCTTTCCTTACAGTTTTCCCCCAACAAGTCCCTTACAGGTTCAATAACAAGCAGACTTATTCCCCAGTCATCCTTATAAGTTGCCCTTATACATTAATGAACACCTGTTCAGAAGTATAGTGCCATTAATTAGAACACTAGTGCGTTAGTTGTCACCCACTGTTTATCACTCTGGTGTAATCCTCTCCAAGCTCATGAGTCTCTTGGCCTTCCCAAGAAGTCCATCTTCAGAGCTCAGCCATATTTCTACTCCTGGACCAAGCTCTAACTTTTGAGATTCTCCATGCCTGCTTCCTTATTCAAGAAATAGGAGTGATGAGAGCACCTACCACTGGGTGAGATGCCATAGGTAGGGCTGGTGATGTAGATGACAAAACAGTTCACCAAGGCAAGAATAAGAGTAAAAATAAGAGTTTATTGAGGCCAGAGTATACTGTCAAGAGGGAAAACGGGCAAGTTCCCCAGAGTGGAATCTCATAGTCCAGGTGAGAGACTGAGGTCTTTGTATGGGTTTGAGGCATGGAAAAAGAGTTTAGACAGCACATGTAATTATCTAAAAAATGTCTTTCTCTGGATCATCTAGTGCCTTATACATAGATCTTCCAGGAGCACCTGTATTGTATCTAACATTTTGTTTAAAGTTGCAATTTGACAAGACCATTTTCTCTATCTCACAGAAGCCTTTTTAGCTTTAGTTAATAAGGTCTATATACGTGAACTTTTCAAGAAGATGGGACAGGGCTCATTGGGAGGGATGAATGGGTCTGACATCAAAGATTTGGTTTTATCATGTGGAGTTTTGGTTAGTTTACTATATTGTCTCAGTAGGAGCTGGGCGGGATGGCTTCAGCAAAGGAGTTCTGCTGCTGAGTGTTTTAACCTTTGTTGCCAATGGGTAATCACCACATCTACCTCACAGGATTACTGTGAGCATTAAATACATCAGTACACGAGGTGCGCTAACACAAACATCTGGTCTATTGTAAGCATTCACTCATTGCCTATTATTATCTTATTGAACTATATGTCTCATTTCCTGGGGCAAGAGGTCTTCTTCACTATTTTCCAAAATGATGCTTCGGGTTCAAAAGATTTGGCAAACTGGCTGCAAGAGAGAAAGCAATAAAATCTGGCTTTCTGATTTCAAGCCCGGGTGAGCCTGGCTAATTTTAAATATGATAATGATTGAGAGGAAAAGCTACATGCTTTTTTTGCAGTTTGGGTCTGATGGGTTCAACATGGCTATTTGCATAGAAGGACAGCAATAGCACTACTATGTTTATTTTTCAAAAGAAAAGTCAATTTCTTCCTCCTCGTGTCTCATGAGAATGTTGTGGGGGAATTTATTTGTTTAAAAAAGAACAGCAGATTTTTTCCTCCTAGAGTCTCTTGAGAATGGTGTGGGACGATGGCAAAAGCATGTGGAAGCTTTATGTGTTTTTTTTACCCATAATGAATACAGGACATATTAGAAATTTAAACAGAGAAATAGGGCAGAGACATTGACAGAGAAGAGGCAAATAATAATAATAGTAATAATTTCAGACATATGGTAGTTGATGTGAAAATACAGCATTTTAATAGAAAAATCTTTATGAATATTGGAACATGAAAGCCAAATACAGTCAGTGAAGTTAGGAATGAGAAAACAGGTGTGGAACTCTTCGGTGGTCTCAAGTTGATCTCCAAACCCAAGTAGGTGAGTGTCTCCCTTGGAAGAGGATGTACAAACAGAACACAGGACTCATAGTCTTCTCATTGCTGTGTGGGATGTTTTAAAACTCACAGCACTTCTAAGATCGCACTTTGATTATTTTTTTTCAGAATCAAGACAATGGGGATTGTATTCTGGGCTGCTCTTAGGGGGCATCGTAGGTGTCATCCTAGTTCTTGAAGTGGTAATACTACTGTGGAGAAGAAGAGGTAGGTGTCTGACAATAAAGAGTTTCTTACTGGACTCTCTGTGGTAAGCAGAGGACCTCTTCACAAGCACAGACTTGTTCTCAGCACTGTAACTTTCTGCGTGGGGTCACCTTTGAAAAGCACTTAATAAGCATATTCTGGAAACTTGCTTAATTCAATTTGATGCAGCACATCTTCATCCTCTATATCAGGGTATGGGGATAAACAGAGAAATGAGCCACATGTATCTAATGTGGGAGACATTATGCAGTTAATTTCTGTTCAGAACTGCAGGAAAGATATGTACAGGAGGCTGAAGGGATCCTAACAAGAGGCTCAGTGTTCACAAGGGAGGAGAATCCAGAGAATTCTTCGATCTCCACAAAATGTTTCCCATAATAGACCGAAAGCAGTAAGGCTCAGCTATTCTCCTACAGTTTAAGTGCTCAACAATAGTATGTCCTGACCTTTCCTCCAAATTTTCCAATTAAATATCACAAGCCAATAGTTTCCCTTTGGCCACACTCTTGCCAAGCCATACAGGAGTCAGAATATCCTGCCCCAAAACTAGGACAGATGCTCTGCCTGATTTTCCCATAGTGAGGGAATATTCCTATCACCAAACTGATTGCTGATCTCATTCTCAAGTAGATCAGTGTTACCCACATATTAGAAAATCCCTTACCTCAGCACTGTGATGTTAGTTTTGCTTATATAAGAAGATGTAGATCACAGCACAGTTGCCTTTTGTCTCATTTCCTCCATCTAAGAGTTACTGAGGAGGAGGTGGGGGAGGACTGGGTGATTCAGAGAGAAATACTGTCTCAACGCTAAAGCTATGGGGGTGGGGCAACCACATTGGGCTTCTATTATAAGAAAACAATGAGATACCAGAGATGATACAACTGAGGTTAATTCACCCACTCTAGCCTAGCTATTAAGAGCACAGGGATCCTAACCTATACTCTTTCTGCTAAGCACATGATTAATCCTGAGGGGAGCAGTGCTTGCTATCCAACCACAGTTCCCCACCACCTCCCCCATCACACATACCCAGCCTCATCTCTAGTCACCACTGATTCTTTGGAAGCCAATTTCACACACCTCAAACCTATGGTAAAATCTACATTGAGTTGCTATACCCTTAACAAAACATTGCTTCCGAAATCTGTTGGCAACTTCCAATGGTATCATCTCCAGGAGCCAGCCTCACTCTGAATATCTTCAAATTGACTCTGGCGCTTTGATCTCCAGAAAATACTTACTGGTTAAGAAGATGAGCTTTGGGCTGGCCATGATGGCACATGCCTTTAGTCTCAGCTACTTGGAAGGCTGAGACAGAGGATTGCTTGAGCCCAAGAGTTCATGACCAATCTGGGCAATACAGAGAGACCCGAACTCAAAGCAAACAAAATAGACAAAGGAGTGTAAGCTTTGTCATTAAACAAACTTACATTTAAAGACAGACTTTGCCACAGATGAGCTATGTAGCCAAGCAAATGGACTCATCACTTACCTGTAAAATGGGGATAGTACATACTTCATTACTTCATAGCATTGTTGTAGGGACTGGGAAGTCAGTACACATAAAACACATAACATGGTGACTTCCATGGATGATATATGCATCCATGCATGCATACATACATACATAGACAGATAAATCTATTGATGTAGGTGAGTTAAAATAGCAATGTTTAATTCCCATAGCAAGGAGAGGGTTGCACTGGAAGAATCTAGAGATAGTACTTAAAGCATGCTTAAAGTACTTAAAGTCATGGTAACAGGACAATGCTATGCTTTGGATAAGAGCTGCAAAAGATATTAGTCTACATTTTCGCTGTGGTAAGAAAGAGACTCATAGCCAGGCATGGTGGCACACACCTGTAATCCCAGCACTTGAGAGGCTGAGGCAAGGGGGTGAATTCTAAGGCAGCCTTGGCTACATAGTGGGTTCAAGCCAGTCTGGAATACATAGCAAGACCCTGGCTCAAAAAAGAGAGAGAAAGAAAGAAAGAAAGGGGAGAAAAGAAACTCATGGAGATGACTTGATTTGTCCAATGTCATTAGCATGACAGAATGAAGATGTCCTAATTCTAAGGTCACAACCTTTCAATACCCTAAGGCCTTTTTACAGCTTTAATTTTTGCAATGAGAATGAGTTACTCTTATAATTTAAAAAGGAAACTTTAAAATTGCCTAAAAATTTAAATGTTTTGCAATTTATTAGTTTACAGAGGCCCAAAGCCCTGAGCAAAATTTCCAGTTAGAGAACAATAGAATAACATTACAGTTTTATTTTCCACATAGCCCCAGGTGGATCATCCCTCCTCTACCATCATCCCCACCGCAAACACGTTCACACCAAGTCCTCGAGAAATAGGATGGTAAGAAAACTGAGTGAAGCAGCATGCTACCAGATGGAGAATGCAAGAGAGATATAAATAATCAGTCCTGCTCTCAAAAAACCTAGAGTCCTATTAGGAGACTGGATATACACGTAAAACAATAGAGATTGAAATAATTGAGCACACCAATGAGAATAATACCCAACATATAGTGGGCATTTACTATGTCCTAGGCACTGTTATTTACACATTGCAAGCAATAACTCATATAATTATCACAATATCCCTGTGAATCAGATATTTCAAATTCTTTTCACAGGTAAGGAACTAGAGTTAGACAGGTCAAGTACGTAACTGACCCAATGTTTTGGGAAAGGTGGGTATGCAGTGGGAAATAAACACCAGACAGATCTGCACAGGAAGCAGATGTGGGGCCAGAGGAGATAACCACTATGGTTTCTTTTCCCTAGGTAAAGCAAAACATTTTCAGCCAGCAAAGGAAGGAAAAAGCCTGACTATATATGCCCAAGTCCAGAAATCAGATGTAAGTTCTATACTTTGCTCGGGACAGACCTATCTTGTTTCCCTTAGGATTCCTGACCAGTCCGCCTTGCACATCTGACATTCATGGTTCCACAGCGGTTCTAGAGCAGATAAAATTAGGGAATCAGAAGTAAGAACAAGAGTGTTACTAAAGGTCACTAAGCCAGTGTCCTATTATATGAAATAACAAGAAATTCTCAGTAATCTTCTTGTTATCTGCTTGTTCATGGGGAAAATATGAGGAAGCTGTAAACCCATGATGTATGACTCTTTTCATCTCTGGTGTTCTAGGATTATACAGTTCCACATTACACAACTCTCCTCCAGGGGAGAGGGTGCAGGTTTAAGGAGGAGGGGAAGGTTTGGAAAAGCCACTGTGTGACATATAGGAGGCCTGATCCAAGTGTAGGCATTTGCAAAGTGCCAAGGTGACAAGGAAGGAAGGATCTTGAGAATTCTGGTTAGAGTGTGGTTGAGGTGGAAGATGATCTGAAGCCAGGAGATGGAAGAAAGAAAAACTGCGGTAGAGTGACCACTGGACTAAAGAGAGTGATGGAAAAACTGCAGACCTGCTGAAGTTGAGGAACAGGTGTGCTGGGAGTAAAAGAGAGGGAGGCTAAAAGGATTGTGGCTAGATATGGAGATATAGTTTTTCCAGACATGAAGTCAATTCTAGGTGGCCATAATCTGGCCATTTGGAGTGGAAGGGGCAGGTTCTGGATTAAAGAATATGAAAATATTTCATCAGGTGCCAATACATTGACTTCTGAAGATTAGGAAATATATTTTTGGGCAAAGCTCTTATTTCTGTTCTCTCCTATGGTCTGGAGGGTTTATTATACAATGGTGGCCCCCTGTTAAGACCAATCTTCCATTTAAACAAAAAGTAATTCACCCCTTGCATTACGCATTTAGATGAGGCTCACATTTACCAAAGCGCCTCCCTATCTACTACCTTGCTGCTAGCAATCCTCTTTTTTACTATAAAGTATGACTTGTATGAAAAAAAAAATAGCACACAACAAAGCAACAAATCAGCATCTACTCAGTGAATTACTTTAGGTGCCCATCATGGTAAAACAAATCTTCCTATCTTGTTTTTCTTCAAGGGCTTCTGGCTATTCTTGTTCTTTTAAACTTCCATATGTATTTTTAAATCAGCTTCTCAAGTACTAAACAAAGAAAAGTTTATCCTATTAGGATTGCTTTGTGTCTACCACTCTATTTACAAAGAAATGACATCTTAATCAGTGCGGAGTCTTACGATGTCAGAAACCACCATCCAGATCAAGGAACAGAACACTGCCAGCAACTCCAGGAGATGCGCCATCCAATCAATACTCCCTTCTTCCTCCCCAAAGATAACCACTTTCCTGACTTCTAGAAATATAGTTTAGTTTTATTTTATTTTATAAAAGTAGAATCCTCTATTATTTTTCTTCTTATGTCTAGTTTCTTTTCTCAATTTCACAAGATTCATACATGTCTTTAAAATAGATATGAATGCATTCATTTTTATCGCTTTATAGAATATCAGTGTATGAATATACTAGAGTTTTTTTTATCCAGTTAACTATTGATGGGCACTTGGGTTATTTTCAGTTTGAGGCCGTAAAGTAAAGTACAGCTGTGAACATTCATATGCATATACTTAGAAGGAGAATTGCTAAATGATAGAGTATGCCTATACTCAAACTGAATGGATAAGACCAAAATGTTCTTCAAAGTGGGTGTGCCAATTTCCATTTCTATAAATGAAGTCCAGTTGCCACCCATATGAGCCAAAACTTGGTATCATCGGTCTTTTTAATTCTAGCCATACTATTGGATGTGTCTTATTATGGTTTTAGTTTGCACTTGTCAAATCATTAAGGAAGTTAAGCAACTTTTCATATCTTTATTGGCCATATTAAAATCCTCTTTCTTAAAGTGCCTATTAAATCTCTTGCCAATTTACCTTTAAGTTTAGGCTTTTTAAATGGATTAATATAAACTTTTATATATTTTGGATATGAGCCTTTTGAATATTCAGATAGATAAAGATAGGTGAGTTCATATTTTGGATATGAGCAGTTGCACCTGTAGCATCTGTGGCTCATCTTTGCAAGTTTTCAGAGATATCTATTGATAAAGAAAAGTTCTTAATTTTAGTATATAGCAACTTAGTAATCTTTTCTTTCATAGCTAGCACTTTTTGTGCTCCATTTGAGAAATATTTCTCTTTTCCCAAAGAATGAAAACATTCTTCTATCATCTTCTAAAGCTTTATGGTATATCTTTCACATTTATATCTATTATATACCTGAATATGGTTTTTGGAGTTGGGTTTAGAGGGGTGAGGTTTTATTTTTTCCAATGTGGATAAGCTATTGACCATTTACCAAAGAGATTGTCCTTACCCCACTGCAGCATCGTCTTTACCAGAACTCGAGGTCCATATATGTATGGTTCTGTTTTGATAGTTTTTATTCTGCTCCATAGACTTTTGCTCATACACACATGAAGGCTATACTATCTTGCTTATAGATTTATTATAAATTTTGATATCTAATAAAATGAATCTTCTCATTTACTCTTTTTCTTCAACAGTTTTTTACTATTTGGTCCTTTGCATTTTCATATATATTTCAAAATCAGCTTATAAAACCTCCCTTGCCAAATACTGTTAGAATTTTAATTAGGACTGCATAGTTAATTTCAAGGAAAATATCTTTATTGTACTGAGTCTTTAAATTCACAAAAGCTGCTATTTCCTTTCCTTCCTGTAAATCTTCTTTGATTTCTGAAATCAAAGAAATGTCTGCTGCGGATTTAGCTCAGTGATGTCGAAGCCTGCCTTGCAAGTACAAGGTCCTGAGTTCGATCCCTGGTACCAAAAAAAAAAAGCAATGTCTGATGTTTTCTGAATAAAAAGACTTTACATCCTTTATAATTTATTACTTGGCAATTGATATTTTGGAATACCATCATCAATGTTACATTTTGCAATTTTTTTAGTTTCTAATTCTTTATTATTAATATATAGAAATACAATTAATTTTTGTATATTTGACTTATAGCTGCAACATTGCTAAACCTATTTGTAAGTTTAGTCACTTATCTATAGATGATTGGGATTTTCTCTGTACACAATTGTATCATCTGTAAAAACCAGTAGTTTTATTTCTTCATTTACAAATCCCAGAACTCTTTTTTTTCTCTTCCCCTAATTTTACTGACTGAGATGTCCCATGACATGGTATATGGAAATGGTAGCAGTAACATCATTATAATCTTCTAAACCTGAAAAGAAAGGTCTAAGTTTCTCACTATTAAGTATGATTTTTGTTGAAGGTTTTTGTAATTGCCCTGTTTTTTAAAAACCACATGGGGAGTATTGTTGGAGGCTGGGTGTACCTCAGTGGTATAGCTCCTGCTGGCATGTATGAGGCCCTGGGTTCAATTAAAGCACTGAAAGAAAAAAAAAGATTTCTATTACTGGTTTACATTTTATCATGAACTGATGTTGAATTCTATTAACACTGAATTCTGCATCTGTTGAGATAATCTTGTAATTGTTGTTTCTCATTTATCTGCTGCTCTACCAAACTATACTGATTTACAAAAGTCAAGCCCCCTTTGCACTCCTGAAATAGAACCAATTTAGGCTGGTCCTTGAAAAAATATTTCTGGAGCTTGCTTCCTAATTCTGTTCATTTTTTTCTACTCATGTTTCTGAGTAAACTTGACCTATACTTCTCCTTTCTTATAATGCCTTTGTCCAGTTTTCATTATGTTAAATTCACAAAGTATGTGTTAGTTTCCCAAGGCTGCCATGACAAATTACTGCAAAAGTGGTGGCTTATAACAATAGAATTTATTCTCTAACAGTTCTGGGGCCCACAAGTCCAAATCAAGGAGACAAGTTGCAGGACATACCTTCTCTGCACACCCTCAGAGAGAGTTCTTTCAAGCATCTGGTAACTCCAGGCAATTTTTAGCATCTGCTGCTCTGTACCCATGGTACTGCAATCTCTGCCTCCATCTTCACAGGACTTTCCTCTTCCGAGTCTCTGTGTCCCCTCCTTTTCCATGGAGAAAAGATGGACATTCATCACTGCACTTAGTGATGCACCCTACTCCGGGCAACTTCATCCTGAAATTCTTACTTTAATGACATCTGCAAAACCTTTTGTTCCAGACAAAGTCACATTCTGAGACTCTGGACAGACATATCTTTTGGGGGCCACAATTCAACCCACTACATGGTATTTTTTTTCTGTTTTGTGATTTTCTAGAAATGTTTGGGTAAGATTGATTTACTTTTCTTAACTATTTGGCAGAATTACTGATGGTGGTCTCTGAGACTGGAGTTTCTTTGGTGGGGGATTTTTTAAACTGTGTTTTTATTATTCCATTTTCTTCTCCATTACAATAGTAATTATGTTTTTCTGTTTTGTTAGTTGCTACCCTCAAAATTATAAAATGCATTCTTGACTCATTGGCATGCAATATTTAGTGCATTTATACTTTATATTGCACTATAAATTTTTACTCCACTGTAATTTACCCCCTGATTTATGTGCTATTTTTGGTCATTACTTTGATTTCATATATATTTTAAACATATAAGACATAATTAGTACTGTTTTAGATGTCAGTATTTACATAGACTTAGTCATATCCTTAAATTTTCCTTTGCTTATATTTACAATGTCTGTATCATTATAAAGACTAAAATAATATAAACAATTATTCAGAAAAGAACCAGCCTTCTAACAGGATTCCAAGGTAATTTGTAATCACAGAAACAGTATGAGAAGCCCTAGGGTAGCCCAGGCCCAAGCACTTCTAGGAATGAGGAACACACTCAGGCAATTCATCTCACACTTGAGCATCTTTTACTGTTAGAAAGATCCTCTCTCTGTTGAACCAAAATACTTCCCCCAACTGTAATCCTGCCTCAAACCAGAAAGGCTCTATTGATAGTTTCCTCTTTTCTATGGCAATCCAACAAATATATAAGAGAAAGATCGTGTCCCTTCCTCCAGTAAACTTTTCCAGTTCCTTAATTTTCTATTAGATGAGAAGATTTACTCACATTAAACCCACTCTCATTAAACCACCATGTGCTGTAGTAGGAATATCCAGAGAAAAACAAGATCAGCATTAAACTAGACCATTGTCCCCAGAGTGTGTTGAGTGTCCTTATCATTCCCATCTCATAGGGATAGGATCTCAATTTACCCCTACACTAGCTTGTCTTAACATTATAGGCTTTAATTCATTCAAAGCAACATCAACAAATAGCAACTGAAAGGGTTTGGGTTTTTTTTGGTACCAGGGATCAAACTCAGGACTTTGTGCTTGCGGGGCAGGCAGCGGAACCACTGTGCTAAATCCCCAGCCCAACTGAAAGAGTTTTTGTGTACCTAGCACTTTTTATGGGAGAATATACAGAAACATAGACTGTTTCTTTTTCTTTCTTTTGTCCCCATCCCCACCCCTGGTACTGAGTAATGAACCTAGGGAGTGCTGAGCTACATCCCCCAGACTTATTTACTTATTTATTTATTTGTATTTTGAGACAGGATGTCACTGAGTTCCCTAGGCTACCCACCAACTTGCACTCCTCCTGCCTCAGCCTCCTGAGTAGCTGGGATTATGCCCAGCTACATAGGCTATTTCTTAAGGAACTTACAAACTGGGGAAATAATACATAAATATATGAGAGTATTTTAAACACAGCATTCAGTTGCCATGATGTGTGAATTGGACTTTAAATACCTGAGAAATTTAGGTGAAGGATATAAAATGAGGTAACCAAGGAAGACTAATCATAAAAAGAACATACACTTTAAATTAAAAGTCCCTGGTGGTGCTATTGGCTTTGACACTTCATGCATTTGCATAGTAGGAAAGTACTGAAATTTTTTGAGCTTGAGTGTCTTCATTGTCAAATGTAAGTAATGAAGATGTTTGACACATAGAATAGTTATGACACCAATGGGAGGACATATGGGATAGCAGGGGCTGTAGCGTAGGATTGAACAGATGCTGATGTCCCAGGTGCCACGAGTGAGCCAGACTAAGTTCTCCTAAGGTCCTGGTCCCTTCCGTGGCCCCTGTAAGAGCCACAGCAATTCACTGCAATGCAGATCTTTAAAGCCCTTGGGAAGCCCTAATAATGAACGAGGCTGTCTTGGGAGGTTGTGGGCTCTGTGATGTCACTTGTGGAGTCCAAGCAAAGCCTGAAGACCTGAGTTCTGGGGCGGTTGAGGGAGAATGCCCACCAGGGAAGCAGGTTGGACCAAATAACTCCAAGGAGCCCTTAAACTTGAACTTCTTGAATCTGTGTTTCTCCATGGGGAGAACTGGATGGGAATGAGCAGTCTGCTCAGCTAATCTGCTTTCTTTGCTTCTCTTTCAGACTCTTCAGAAGAAACCTGACCCCCAGCCAACTCAGGAGCCCTGTACCACCATTTATGTGGCTGCCACAGAGCCTGTTCCAGAGTCTGCCCAGGTGAGGCATCTGTGCCCCTCACTGTAGAGAGGGAACAGAAGGCAAGGGAGAGATTTTTGTTTTTGGGAGAGATGAAATGAAACCAGTTGTTGAGTTCTGGGTTGAGACATTAGCCCACAGGCAGTGAGGAGTAGCTGTGGCCTTGGTTTTAGGGCTTCCCTGAAGCCCCACATCCTGCTCACATGGAATGAGCTGTGCCTACTCTCTATTGGCTGGTGTTTCTCTGGTTGTCCAAGGACCATGTCAGAATCATCTGGCACTGATTAAAAAGCAAGATTTCTGGGGCCTCCCACCCCGGACTCTGTTAAATTAGAACAGATGTGGAGGTACCCAGTGACCTACATATAAAAAAAACAAGATAGGCCAGCAATTCTGGTGCACACTTCCATATGGAGACTGCAGTTTGAATGCAGGAGTTCTCAATTCCACCTGCAAAACAGGATCCCCAGAGAGCTTTGTAAAGATGCTCATGCCCTGTGTTGAAGTATCCCACTGTGCCCCACTCCCATGTACCATTATTACACATTAATAAAAATTAATTTAAAACACTGTTCTATAATCATAAGAGATGCTCATGTCTAGGCATTTACAGCTGCACTCAGTCCGAATATGCAGAGGTGGAGCTTGGCAGAGGCAGTAAGCTAGAGGAGAACATGATCTGTCCCTGACAGTGAGACTTGCCTCTTCGAACCCAATGCAAGATCAGCATTGCTGTGTTTACTTCTGGCAGGAGTCCTTCCTTCACTAAATGAGCTGAAACAACACCAGTTGGACTCTATTAAGCAAGGAATTCTAGGAGACAGCCTGGGATTATGGAGGACAAGGGCTACAAAAATGTTTACATTCATCTTTCTTCAAAATCCCTCCTGCATATAACCCAAATATGCCTGAGCCAGTGTTCTGTTTCAAATAGACCCCCTCAAAACCTGAGGGTGCTCTACCAATGAGCTACATGGCCCCCCTCCTTTTTTTGAAACACGGTCTGACTAAGTTGCCTAGGCAGGACTCAAAAACTTCAATCCTCCTGTCTCAGCCTCCCTCAGTGCTAGGATTACAGGCATGCGGGCTTGGACTATTTTGACATCTATTCTCAGTACATTATCTTATCCAAGAGGGAAGTAAAAATATAAATCTGACTTTAAAAACTTTAAAAAATAACACTGATTTTTAAATAAAGTTCCCTTGGGGAGGGAAAACTGTAATGTTCTATTTACATTTTACAGCAAAACCTCCTAAATCGCACGTTCCCTTCTCTTTCTTTCTCTGACTCTCCTCGGGCTATGGGAAGTCTCTGTTCACCATCCTCTTCTCCTTTCCTTACCTCTCTTCTGCTGGTCCCACTTCTCTCCTCTCTTCTTGGGTCTTGCTAGCCTTGTTTTAAAGCTCAATAGATTAATTCTTGGTTTTTCACCTATAAATGGTTTTCCTTACAAGGAAAGGAAAGGGAAAGAAGGGAAGGGAAGGGAAGGGAAGGGAAGGGAAGGGAAGGGAAGAGGGCAGAGAGATAGAGAGGAAGCATACTGAGTTCAGATCTTCAGACCTTGGGGTTGGGTTTCTGGGCTCCTGGATGGCACACTAATGCTTGTGAGGGAGCTGTAGCCCTGTTTGCAGCTAAGAAGTCTGGGCCCCTGAGTGCTGCCTCTAGCAATTCCTTGTCTGTGACAGGCCCTCAGCATTGTCATACTACACAACGAGAGACCTTTTCCTTTTCCTAAGCAATGCTGATTCCATTCACAGCCTGTAAAACCAGTGCCCCTTCCCTTTGCTCATGATTTCTACTTTGTCCTCAGGAACCAAACCCCATCACAGTCTATGCCAGTGTGACACTTCCAGAGAGCTGACACCCAAACCCAGTAAGGAACTTTCTGAAGGAAGATGGGAAAACCAAACTGAACATTGAACTTGGTCCCATGCCTCAAGTTCTCTGTGACAGACACTCCACACATCTGAACCCTCTTTTGGATCCACTCGTTGTTGATGTATCTCCATGCATACCCAGAAATGGACATGGCAGGGGTGATCCTCAAGTGTTTGGCCTGCTCTGCAGCTGGCACAGTCACAGAACAGAGAGCTCCTCAACATAGCTCTCCATCTTTGAGATGTAGCAGATGAAATGGACAGTGTGAGACCAGACTTCCGGACTCTTGTGAGACCAGACTTCTGGACATTTCGCTCTTTGCTAGGATGCACAATAACAGCCAAAGACAGGAAGCCAGAACATCTAGCATTTCTGACAGACAGCCAACCACCAGTCATAAAGTCTGGGAAAGTTTACATTTTGGCGGCCTGTACTTTATTCTGAGAGCTGATCTTCATCACCCGCAGACCTGATTGAGGCTTTGCGCCTCAGTTTCTCAAACTGGATGAAGAGTGAAGGGAAGGTGGAGTCTTTATTTTATGTAAAACACTCAGAGATAATTCTATAAAATTATATAACGGATATTTTATTTTCAGAAAGCAAGTAAAAAATAGTAAACTGAAAGAATGATTCTTTTAAAGTCTCTGAGCTTTGCACAGTAGAATGAAAACCATCTGAGATTCTTAAAAGTACAGCTCTGCATAAATATCATTCAATTTTAAAGAAAAGTGGCCAGTGTTTGGTTATGCTACTGCAAAGTGACTTGGGATACTCAGAGGTACTTGTCCCTGGGGAGATTTTTCACTTCTCAAGATAACTTTTAAATCTTAGTTCTCCGTTTTCTCCCTTGAGTGACAGATGAGCCCAGAGTTGGACACTGTCCACCCCAGTTCTGAGCCCATTTTATATCTCAGGCCTTGTGTGGAATCTCAGGTCATCTTCTACTCCCTGAATACCTCTCCTTATATTAAACTTATCTTCAAGCAGATAATTAAATTATTTTGATCCAACAGTTTCAAATGATTGTATGCTTCAGTCACTTAGATTACAGGCCATACATAGAAAGAATCTCTTTTAATAAAGTCCCACTTTCTTCCTATTTTCTGCTTTTAGATAGGTCATCTTTCAGTTTTTAGCTCTTCTTTTTCTTATTGGTTCTTGCCTAACTTTGATAAATACTTTAAGAAATAAGTAACTGCAGGGCCAGGGATTTAGCTCAGTGGTTTCACTGCCTGCTGTGCAAGTGCAAGGACCCAAGTTTGATCCCCGGTACCGGAAAAAAAAAAAAAAAAGAAATAAGTAACTCCTACCATTGTATAACAAGGAGCACCAACTCCCCACCTCAGACCTCGGAGGCTCTGTTGCCTTATCTCTTACTTCCACTAGCTGATCAATTCCCACTGTAGGCTCTGTTGCTCTGAACATCTCATTTCCTGGAACCAAATTCTGAAATTGCATTCTTAGTTTCAATCAACAGAAACTGACATTGGATTTTTTTCTGAGTAGATAAAGAACCTATTGAAAAGATATCAAGTGAGCAGGAAGAAGAGTGGACTGTGGGTTGGCCTATGGTCAAAATTGCAAAGCCAGCCCAGGCATGGCGATCATGGGTCCCTCAGGTTCATGGTGCTGTCCACAGCACTGGACACGAACCCTACCACTGCCTCGCTGCCTCTGCTGGACTTGGAAACTCTGTGTCACTGTTGCTATAGCACTGTCTGTCACCACCTCTGTCTTACCTCCCAGGAAGGCCAAAAAGTGGATATGTGGCATTTTTGCTCTCATATTGGTTGGTACACTCTGCCTTTTATGAATTAAGGAAATTTCCAAATAGAAAGAAGTGATATTCAGGTGCTGGAAAGGCAAAAACGAATTAAAATTAAGAATAATATCCACTACATCACCTTTGTGTAACCTTAGGTGCTCTCTCTTTCCCTCTCCCTCTCTCTCTCTCTATATATATATCTATATTTCTGTATAGATCTATATAGATATATAAATATAGATATCTCTCTCTATTATCCATGTAGATATATAGATATATACAGAGAAATATATATATTTCACTAAATATAATATCATATCTGTGTATGGTACTAGGGACTGTACCTAAAGCCTTTGCACTGAAGTACATCCCAGCCTTTCAAAATTTCAAGACAATCTTGCTCAGTTTCCCAGAGCAGGCTCAAACTCTTGATCCTCCTGTCTCAGCTTTCCAGAGGGCTGAGATTAAAGTCATGAGCCAGCAAGCCTGGCAGCTGTCTGTTCTTAAATCTGGAGTTACTAGCAGTGATTTAGGCCTTGGGGTTATAATTACTCATTCTTTTCCTCCATCTCAGATTGTTCCAGAGGCTCAGCTTCCAACACTTGGGTTTTTCCTGTGGCTGACTTCTACCTGGAGGAAAGGCAGAAACAAAGGAAAAAGAGAAGTTGTCCTCCCACATTTCCTGACTCTCTAGGCTCGGGCCTGACTGGAGAGGGAGGCTATGTTTTAGAGGGAGTCCTTTGGGCCACTTATCCTACAATACTTGACATGATGCCCTGCTAGCCTAGGCCCAGGTTGTCGAGGGTAAGGAGAGAGACACTTCCAGCAATGCCCTTGCCATTCTCTTCTTCCCACGTGGCATGGTGGGGAGCCAGAGCCAGCCTTCTCCTCAAGCTGAAAGAACAAAGCTGAGAGTCAGAGTCAGATTTCCCCATGTGTTTTCTGTAATGTTTTCTTTTGACAAAGCATATCAAAATTATGGAGAAGTTGGGAGGAACACACCCACTCTCAGTGTGAAGGAATTGATGTTCTGAAAAACACAGCTGGATGGAGTCCCCAGCTTCCTTAGGAGTCACACAAGTGGGACGTGATGGTTTCAAAGCACGTGCATTGGCAGGGAAGCCACTGGGAACTCAGTCCCCTCCCAAAGTTTATGTTTCTACCCTTTAGAAATGAATGAATTGTAACCCTCTACCACGGAAATTGCACTTTTGTGTTTCCTAGAGGATTTATATAGCATGGCAGCATGGCTGGGCATGTTTCCTGGTCTGAGTCTCCACAGCTTCAGCTATGAGCCCTGAAGATGACCACACAGATTGGATGAGCTATAAGGTTGTCCTTTTCCCGGGGGTGGGGTGGGGGCTCTTGGCAAGGACCAGCTCAGTGTCCCCTTCACTAAAACTCAGGAACCACCCCCTTCACAGAGCAGAGAACTGTGTTTGTTTGATTTTTGTCATTGCCAGAGTTAGCCCCTGCTCTGTACTTCTCCAAAGAAAAATCTAAAGCTGAGTTTCTCAACTGTGAAGCTACTGACATTTGGGGCTGCATAATTTTTTGCCATGATGTTCTCTGCATTGGAGGATGGTAAGCAGCATCCTTGACCTCTGTCCACTAGAGGTCACATCCCCTGTCCTTGATCATGACAATCAAAGTATCTTCATGGGCTCAGGGCAGGGCACTTGCTTGGCTTGTGTGGGATTCTGGGTTCGAGTTCCAGCACTGAAAACAAAGATGTCTCCAAATATTGCCAATTGTTCCCTAGTGGGCAAAATATTCCCCAGTTGTATGATCCAGAGGTATGCCAGTGCCCTCATCATCCAGAGATATGCCAGTGTCCTCATCATCTTTGAGTAGAAAAATATAGTTCTATATACCAAAAAGTAAGTCTATCAAAATCATGTTTTGAAAGTGACAATGTAGCCACTTCAACATGGGTTAAACCTGCCAATATTCTCAAGGTTCTCTAAATACTGAAATTACCTAAGCAGCTTTTAAAAAACACCAGCTCCCAAGATGGGTTCCACATAACAGCCACAAGAGGGTGGTGTGGCAATACAGTCCTCTCTAGCCCTGCCTCCCCACCGCTGGTCTCTAGTGAAGGATGTGGACTTACTCTGTGCCTGCTGAAACTGAGACTAGATTCTCATCAGCTCATAACACTTACAGGCTAGAGAGAGGTAAGAGAGATAAGGAGGCCCAATGTGGATTGATGACAAGCTATGGTCATCACTCACTGTTTCACAGAAGGCTTCTAGCTCTACTCAGAGCTTCACTCATTCACCAGATAGTTATCAAATTCCGGCTAAGTGTTAAAGCTTGTCACCCAGTGAGAGCCACAAAGAACATACATAGTTAAAATACAGTCATATGTTGCTTAACAATGAGGATAAATGCTGAGAAATTCTTCATTAGGCAATTTCATGTAGTGCAACCATCATATCAGCTAATGGTATAACCTACCGCACACAAAGGGTATTGGTAGACAGATGATAGATAGACAGATAAGATAGGTGATGTAGCCAGTTGCTCCTAGGGCCATGCTGAATAAAATGACAAGAGATTGAATCAAGCACAAGAACCAATTGAATCAAGAGAAAATTATGCAATCAAGAGACAAAATAAACATAAGGTATATGAGGCCACTGCCAGCAAAACACACAGACTTATTTACAATAAATTATTTTTGGTAAGTAGAAGGCATATACTCTAAAACAATGATAATTCTAAGCAATGTGAATGCCTGTAATCCTGACAATCTGGGAGTTTGAGGCAGGAAGATCAGAAGTTTGAGCCCTTTCTGGACAACTTAGTGACCTAAGAAGACCATGTCTTGAAATTTGAAAAATAAAATAAAGGGCGGAGGATGTAGTTCAGGCAAAGGTTCTGGGCTCAATCCCTAGTACCAAACACACACCAAAAAAAAAAGAAATACAACAAAAAGTATAGTATAGTAAATATGTAGCCAGCAACATAATCATTGATTATCAAGTATTATGTGCTGTACATAATTGTATATGTTCTTATACAACTAGCACCATGGTAGGTTTGTTTGCACCAGTATTACTACAAACACACGAGTAATGTGTAATTCTACTAAATGTGACTGTTAAAAATCTCACTAGATGATAGGAATTTTTCACCTTCTTTATAATATTGCAGTCCCTGTATGTAATCACTGTTGACCAGAATCTCATTATGCAGGACATAACTGGACTACATGATCTAATAATTACCCTGGGACAATGGCTAGGATATGTAATCACCCTAAGGACAGAGAAAGTCAGGGGTCTCCAGTAAGCATATAAGAGGTACACCCCACCCAAACTTCTGGAGTGAGGAGGGTAAGTTTATTTTAGGTAAAAAGTTTGAAGTGACAATGAAAATGAAGTAGAAAATTTCCATGAAGTAGCCAAAGACACTGTGGCTCAGAGTAAGAACACAGAGGTCAGGTGTAGTGGCTCAGGTCTATAATCCCAGCACTTAGGAGGCTGGGGCAGAAGGATCACTGCAAGTTCAAGGCCAGCCTGCACTACATATGGAGTTCAAGGCCAGCCTGAGCTAGATAGCAAGGACCTGTCTCAAAAAAACCCAAGAAGAAAGAGAAGAAGAAGGAGGAGGAGGAGAAAGGGGGGCAGGGAGGAGAGGGGGAGAGGGAGAAGTAGAGGAGGAGAAGTTCAAGATCTGAGCATTATTTTCATTGTAGTCACATTTTGAAGGTGAAACCAGGAAAAGAGAAGAAAAAGGTAGGCCATTGAT